AGGGCGCGGGGAGGCGAGGACAGGGCCGTGGGGAGGCGTGGGTGAGGGGAGGGGGAGGCGCGGGCGCGGGGAGGTGAGGGTGCGGGGAGGCAAGGGCGCGGGGAGGCGAGGGCGCGGCCGTGGGGAGGCGTGGGTGAGGGGAGGCGAGGGCGCGGCCGTGGGGAGGCGTGGGTGAGGGGAGGCGAGGGCGCGGGGAGGTGAGGGTGCAGCCGTGGGGAGGTGAGGACGCAGGGAGGCGAGGACAGGGCCGCGGGGAGGCGAGGGTGCGGGGAGGACACGGGGAGGCGCGAGCGTGGGGAGACGCATACTGGTATAGGATGGTCTCGGAGGCCTCCACAGCCGTCTGTGGCTGAGGGTGGTTCCTTACAGTGATGGAAGCATTGGGACCGGAGAGCAGCTTGAAGAGAAAATTGTCCACAAGTGCCACAGCCAGGGCGGGCGAGTGGTAGGCCTGGTTGTTGAACAGAGCCGTCACGACCGTGTGGCCCTTCACATCCTCGATGGAAGCCGCCACCACGTACTGGTTGTCAAAGCTCTCGGGCTCCTCCCCTTTCTTGTGCAACAGGAACTCTTCCAGGTGACCTGGGACAGAGCAGGCCAGCGTGAGCAGTGAGGGTGACAGCGTGTGCCGGTCCAGCGGGGCTGGGTGACCCCCATAGGCCTTTCTGACCCACTGCTCCTTGGCACATCCCATCCCCGTCACCCATTCCAGGCAGTCGCCAAGCTGTGTGTTTCAGCTCACATAGCCCTCTCCTTCCTCGTGGCCACTGTCACCTGTGCCTGCAGCCCAGGGTCCCTAGCGAAGCCCCTGCCTTCCCTCGGGTACCTCCAGTCCGATCGTGCTGCAGCCCACCCACCCAGCTTCAGGACGTGGCCCCGGTTCCTGACCCCGACTCACGGAGAGTGTCGCCACACGCAGCTTCCCGGCTTGCCCCTCCTCACATCCGAAGACTGAGTGCTGCCCACGCCTCACAAATGCTTGCTGTCCAGACCGCCCGTCTGTCAGTCCATTCCCTCCTCAGACCCTTCTAGTCTGAGACAAGCCTGCGTGACCCTGTAGCCCTCAATCAGCCATGAGCCCTCTGCATGGAGACAGGCTGGTTATCTGTCCACGGGAATGCTGGACTTGCAGCGCCCGGAGGGCTACACCACGCTCGCTTGCCGTGGAATCCCCCCGGCTGGGCTTCCGGAGTCCTTAGTGGCAGAGGGGCCTTCAGTCTGAACAGCAGCTCTGGCGTGCAGCAGCACCGGCTCGGTGCTTCCTGGACACTGACCACGCGGAGTGCCCGCAGGCTCTTCAGGTCCTCCTGTCTACGCGAGTGGCTGGGTGTCGTTCTCCCGATTTTGCGTTAAGGAAGAGGCCAGGCTCAGAGAAGCAGCCACTGTGACCGCGATCCCAACCGTTTTGCTACATCATGTTCTGCATTTGATCTCCTTGTGTTAATTCTTTTTTAAGCCACCACCGCCTTGTCTCTTGGCAGCTCTACCGTACGCCTGCCATGCTTACAGCACTTACAGGTGGGCTGGTAGGAACAGCGTCTGCTGACCCTGTGCGTGGCGCTGGACACGCTCCCCCTGCCTGGACCTACCTGGCCATTCAGCCTGCTGTCCATCCCTAGATCAGTGCTTGCCCTCACTGACAACACAGTCCTGTGCATGCAAAAGGGTTCATCTCTGTTGCTGTGCCACCCGTGTACTTCTCTCTGTCTTCCTCTTCCTCAGTGCCACCATGTTGATCACTCACATTTGGTACATTGCCCTTCTCTTTACCCAAATCAATACTTATGTCTACCTATCTAACAGTATTCCTGACCCTGTTACATAGGTAGACATAAGACACAAAGACAAATTTTCTTTGTTAGTTACCCCTGGAAACTAACAAAGAAAATTTCCTTCCATAGATAAACCTTTCCTTGACTTTTACAACTACAGACTAATACAGTATCTGTCCTTCTGTGATTGACTTCGTTCACTCAGCATAATGTCCTCCAAGTTCATCCACGTTATGCGGTGATTTGCAGATTCTACATTATTCTTTAGGGTTGCATAGTATTCCATTGTATTTATGTACCACAGTTTGGTTATCCATTCTTCAGTTGACGGACACCTAGATTGTTTCCAACTTTTTGCTACTGCAAATAGTGCTGCGATTAACATGGGTGTGCATATGTCTGTTCTTGGCTCTCACTTCTTTAGGATAAATAACTAGGAATGGCTGGATCAAATGGTATTTCTATTTCCAACTTTTTTGGCATTTTCATTTTATTTTTTATTTTTTTTTTTAGGATTTCGGTGAAGATTTACAGAGTAAATTCACTTTTCATACAGCAGTTCACATATACATTGTCTCATGTCATTGACCAAAATTTACAATGCAGCAGCTCCCCTCCCACTTCCTCCCCATAGTTACCTCCTCCCAGTGTCCATCCCTTCATACTCT